TTTGTTCTTGATTGTTTATTGATATTAGATAATGTGAAGGAAAGAATTGCTGTTTTTTTAAATATGTATGTTTATTATTAGCTGTTGTACTTTTACTTTAGGTATTTTAAAAATATTAAGTTAAATCAAATAAGTTCAAAATATTTTTTATAAAAATCATATCAAATCAAGTCAAACAACGTTCTTTGGTATCAAAAATGTAGGTATGCAACACATGTGTAACTTCATAGACTAATAAATGTCTAAAATATAAATTAAAATTGATATATCCAAATTTATTAATTGAAAGACACCTCTATCACATACCTGACATATTAAAGTCAATAAATAAAGTATTCTTTCAAAGAAATACCTATTATTCTTATTCCCGCATGCCCTGTATCTATTTTTTCCTTGGAAATTAAGGTGTCAGGTCAGAACGCCCTCTAATTTACTTGCAACTTGTTCTTGCCTTAGGATGGTGCTAGGGTGCTGAGCGAAGTCAACAAATTGGATTTTTGAATAGGACTTTAAAAAAAAATAGTTACAAATTAGAGACAATTATTTTAGGATTATGAGTCTGGGTAGGTTCGGGATGATAAATATTTGAATATTGAAAAATTTTGTTTCTGTATATGTATAGGTACAGTGTGTCCATTTAAGTCCTCTACAAACGGGTAACTTTTTTATTATCAATTTTACGAAAAAAGTACCTATTCTCTATAAAAAGTTCTGCTTTTTGAAAAAATGGTATTAAACTTATCAATCTTGAGATAGCGGTGGCCAAAAATAAAAAAAATCAAATTTGACAAGGGAGAATTACAATTAATTTTTATTTTAGAGAAAAATGTAATGGAAAATGTTACTTGGAATTAAAAATTAAGTTTACGTTTAGATTCGTAACGTATTTTTATTTATTTGTTTTTTTTTTCACATACATAAATGATAAGAAAGAGGACGGGAGAAATATAAATTATAGGTAGAAATAGTGAATAGTGAATTAATTTTTTTAATAAATATTTTTTATAAAACCTGTTTAAAATTCAAGAAAAATAAAAAATTATAAATTACTAAAAAATAAAGAAATTCAACGAAAATTAGGTAAAATATAATCTCGGATTTTTTGAAAATTTGTCGACCAGTTATTAATAAAATCTTCATGATTGTCAAAAATAAGCCATAGACCAATAATAAAAATATTAAGTCTAAGTTTGCAGTCTAAATTACCTGCTATAAACTGCAAACTTAGACTTTAATAATAATAATAATAATAGTAATAGTAATAGTAATAGTAATAGTAATAGTAATAGTAATAGTAATAGTAATAGTAATAGTAATAGTAATAGTAATAGTAATAGTAA